CGTTACCTAACGGTTACGTTTTGGTTTGGTTTTTTAGGGTTTTAACGTTTTAGGTTTGGTAGTAGAGGAACGGGAAAAGTAAAGGTAAGGGTAAGTAGGTACGTAAGTAGTGTGTGTGTGTGTGTGTGTGTGTGTGTGTGTGTGTGTGTGTGTGTTTGGGAAATAAAGAGTGAAGGTGAGATCATGGGATGAACACAATTTTGGCTTCCTAACTAATTCTGAAACTTGCAATGGGTCAGAATTACACAAAGAAAGGAACTAGTACTTGTTAAACCAACACTAAGTTAACTATGAGGTGCAGGAGCTTTGGGTGGTTGTATCATTGCCTCTGTAAAACTCTGAGGGGAGAACTGTGATCTCTGTTTGACAGAAGAGGAATCCAGGCCTCAGAGCAGAAGTGATATGCTCCAGGTGAACCGGCAGGTGCCTGCGTCAGCCTCAGAGTCTTAACGATAACGGCTGCTTCCATCAAACAAAGGTCTGCCGTCCCTCAGTCCCCGTGTCCCTCATGTCTCTACATATATTACTTCATGTAACCCTTAGCCTGACCCTGTGAAGTCAGATTTGTCGTCCTCATTGGACTGATGAGGAAACAGGCCAGAGACAGAGAATAACTTATCAAAGTCACACAGAAAGTTGAAGAAGTATACACAGAACTATGTACAAACTAGATAAGCAACAAGGACCTACTGTACAGCATAGGGAATATGTTCAATATCTTGTGACAACCTATAATCAGGGGAATCTGAAAATGAATATATATACACATAACTGAATTACCTTGTTGTGCACCTGAAACTAATGAAACTAATACAGCATTGTAAATGAACTACAATTAAAAAAAAAAAAAGTGGCAGAGTGAGATTTAAACTCAGGTTTTTCTGGGTGCAAAGTCCAGCTCTTTCTACTACACCACATGACCATGATTTAAAGCCTTTGAGACAGTCTTATGAATATGCATTTGGATGATACTGACTTATATTAATTAACATATATTAATTATAGACGGTTGCAATCATTCCTGAATTTTCAAAATGTAAGAGATATTTTTCCTTTACCCAGACTGATGCCAGTTTGAATTACAAGTGCAATGGGTAAACACTAAAACAATTATTCCACTAAAAGACTATGAATACTAGAAGTATGGAAGAGGTTTTTTGTTGTTTTTAAAGAAAGCGAAAGAGGGAAAGTTTGAGAATATCTGAACAAAGCCACTGAGTTAGTCTGTGAAAAGCCAGGACCAGTGCTTTCCTCATCACGCTATGAAGTCTCAAATGCAAGAGAAAAACTGTTTAGGGGAGGCCTCTTAACATTCTTAAGAAGGGTTGAAATAGATCCGAAACTTGAGGAAGTTGGATCCGCCCCTCAAAAGCCTACAGGCCTTCACAGCTGTATTCTAGCAATTTCCCACCGGGTGGCGCCAATGAGCCAGTTTAAAAAATACCCGATTCTGAGGGAAAGACCCAAACCAAAAAACCAGCCAATACTGGGTTCTACAGCTTTCCTCATCATCAGAGACCCAAACACATTCCTTCCCAGCGTGGGGAGTGGCCTAAATAACTCCTACCCAGGTTGCTCTTCAGGGATAAATTTGCCATGGCAGGAGTTCCCGAACCCACCGTGTTAAGGCCACTGAAGAACTCTAACAGGTGTTTAAGAAGATTCTGCAGAAGTGAGGCACATTTTCTGAGAAATGTTCACAAAGCATTTGGTTTGTATATGAAGATTTTTTCAAGCACTTGGAGTTTTAAAAATCCATCCTTAAGAGTAAAGCCAGGCTTTGGTTGTGCTCACTCAGTGCCACTGCTTTAATGTAAGCCAGTAACTGACTCTGTCAAGTCCTTGGTTCCCGACTGTCAGCAGGACAAATTCCACGCTCTGCAGCCTGGCAAACAAAGCCGCTCCTAACTGGGCGCACCCACCCTGCTGCTCACCTCCTGGTGAACCCTGGCCCACTCACCACACCCGCCAGGCACACGAGACTCCTCCAGACTCCAGCATCCATGGTCTATCAAGGTATCTAGTAGCTTCTCACGGGCTGTTTCTTCCATCTGGGAAATGCTTTCTGCCCTTCTATGCCCGGCAAATTGTGACATCCTTCAAGATCCAACTGTCAGTTCCCAGAAAGGGTTAATGAGCTCCCTCTTGGGTTCCCCCAGCACTCAGCACACACTCACACACATGGCTTCCTGCCAGCACTGGGATTCAGCCTTTCATTTTGCCTGAATCTGAGCAGACCCTTTAACCTCTGTTGTCTATTAATGAATGATGAGGGAT